GACAGGAACTGGGGGAGGAAGCAGGAGCTCACTCTGCTGCGGGAAGGCTGGGCTCGAACCACTGAAGTGTCGACCATTATTCTTCATATGTTCAGGTTAAGAGTATTGAGTTGGAATGTGAAAGGGATACATCTCCATAGAAAGAGATTTAAATAGATATAAGATTGGTATTATATTTATACTAGAATCTCTTATTAGAGGTGATGAAACATCTTTTTTTGTCTGAAGTTGGATGCTCAGGTATTTCATATATTCAGGTATTTCATATATTAGGGGAAACAGGATTAAAGCAGCTGGAGTCAGGGGGTTAGTTAAGAAAGGTTAACTGGGTAGCAACACAAGTACTTTTTGATCCTGATGGGTATTTCTTTTTTGTTTTTAATTGTATTATTCTAAAACACAAGTAACATTATATTATTTGGGTACGATGGTATTTAGACAGTGTTGACTGGAATATTAACACTCATGTTTAGATAATTTAAATTTTTAAATATTGAAATGAAGAAATTTATGTCAATATTAACTATGATTTCCAAAATTTTAATGATAATCATAAGGTTGTTTAAATTTTAAATCTAAAGCTGAATATGGCATTGATAAAATACTGTAAAACACTTTAACAAATAAGTTTCTATTTTAAGGTTAATAATTGATGCTAAGGTTTTCGCTCAAGTCTTACTTATAGGTAGTCCTTGGGTTACAATGTGAATTGGGACTAGAATTGCCGTCACTAAGCGATGCAGTTGTAAAATGTCACATGACTTCATTGCTTAGTAATGGTAGTTTCGGCAGTCCCGGTTGCCACTGTTAAGAAAGGACCATGCGACTGACTGCAACTTCCGACTTTCTGCCAGCTTCCCCACTGACTTTGCTTGTGGGAAGCTGGCAGGGAATGTTGGAAGTTGTGATCACGTGACCGTGGCTCACTGTGACATTGTAATCACGAGCTGCAATCACATTACCAAGGGGATGCTGAAATGACTGGAAATACAAGGACCAGTCATAACTCCCCCTCGTTCAGCGCCATCATAACTTTGAATGGTTACTGAACAGTGGTCATAACCCGAGGACCATCTGCATTGCTGTTTATGCATATTAATAAAAAGAAAAAACAACAACAAAAAGTAAAACTTAAAAGAGCTCTTTGGTTTCTCACTTCACATTTCTGCCAACTTGCGGTGCTCCTAAGCATTGAGGAACATTTTACCACATGTGGAAGACATGTAAAAAAAAAAAATACTGGAAAGATATACATAATATAATGCAGAAAATTTTGGAAATTCAGTTTGAAATGAAATCACAACTTTTTTGACTAGGTACAATCCCAGAATGTAGCAACAGGAAATACCACAATTCACGGAGATACATGCTGATAGTGGAGAGAATAAATTTTGCCCAACCTTGGAAGAAAAATACAATTCCAATGATATCTGAATGGAAAACTAAACTTGGAAACTGCAGCAATGGCAAAATTAACAGCATATATTCAACATATATTAAACAGAAGTTTACCCAAATTCAACCAAGAATGGTTCCCATGCATACAATAAATTACTCAGCATGGCAAATATAAACGCTTATTGTATGGATTCTAAAGGGGTATTTTACTTATTTATTTATTTCTATTAAACGTCCATAGCCACCTGAGTCCCAAGTGTGACTCTGGGCAGCTGACAGCAATTAAAAAACAGAAACAGTAAAAAATAAGCACAACGGCATACAATTATCCTAAAACCACAATTATAAATTCAATAAAACCTATTATATATATATATATAATAATAATAATATATTAACCTGAGGACATTAGATGTTAAGTTGGTTCTTGTAAATTGCTATCAGTCTGTAAAAAATTATCCTGACTTACTTCATAATTGCATGGCAAGAATGTGCGTATCAGTATTCGATTATATGATTCTAGGGGGCGATTCTTTGGATAGATGTTGAAAAGGATAGGAATGCCCCTCCTAAAAATTGTAGTTATAATTAAAATTAGAAAATGTTCCAGGTTTATATGTCAGAGTTTAATTTGATAGATGTATGGCATTCACTTCACATCCAGGTTAGAAACAATAGTATCTTTTTATTTCTTATGGAATATGTTTTGGATTCTTCTCTTCATCCTATTTTTTATCTGAGCATGCTCCTATTACATAACTCTTCCATTTAAAAAGTCTTTTAAGCATGGCAAATTTATGAGATGTATATAAGGTTGATTTTAAAACCAGGTAAGGATCCTAAAGTTTGTGCTAGTTCCAGGCCTATTTCATTAATGTGGATACAAAGATCTTAACTACTCTACTGCCGAGAGAGGTTGCAGAATGCACAATTCACCCCTCCCACTCCGAGTTCATCAACACTGGCCAGGAATCAGACAGTTTATGTTAATTAATTGTCACATGGGATGCAGCTAAGGGAAGAATGGGCTCTGCTGTACTAGTATCTTTAGACCCAGAAAAACCCCTTGGTTTGGTTCACATTAAATTTTTAAAGCAAGTGATGACTTAGACAGTGCTATCCACGGGACTTAGTTCAGTGGATTGAGTTTTGTTATTTGCAGTTTTATTATTTGTATTATTATCTGCGCTAGAGTTATAACAAATCAAATAATTTCAGATTCTTTTTAGGGTGGCACTCAGCAGGGCTGCCCATTTTCACTCTTGTCATTTAACTTGACCCTTGAACTTTTGGCCACTATTGGAAGGCAATTGTTAGACATGAAGGACATTTCCTTGGAATGCTCTGAGTATAAATTATTTGTATAGGTTGATATTTTAGCAATTTTAGATCAGTAATCTACCTCTATGCCTTCTTTTATAAAGAAAGTACTATATTTTGGAAAGTATGTTGTTTATAAAATTAATTGGGAACAATCTTGCTTATGTCTCTTGGGTCCCAAAACATCAACACATTTATGAAAAGTGTTGGGTTTGGTGATCTCCACTGATCATAATAAATATGCAGGACTCTATCTACCCAAAAGTATTTCTAAGTAGGTAGCAATAAGTATGCTGAAACTTTTAGAAAAGATTTAACTGGATATAAATAGATGGATTAAAAATCACTTGAGCTTGTGGAATAAAATTAATCTAATTAAAATGAATATTATCCCTCATTTGATACCTCCTTAGAAGTATCCCTATGTTAATATCAAAAAAATAATTGCTTCAGATTGATAGGTTACTTGGGAAATTTATTTGATATGGTGGACCACCAAGGTTTTCTACAGCTAAACTCAGATTAACATTTCACTCTTCAAGTGAGATGGGCAGTGACTAAATTTGAAATATAAATAAATAAATTTGAGGAAAGTGGCTTTAATCTATCTGATTTGCAGAAGTATAATTGGGCCCATATTTTATCAGCCATTAGTATGTGGAATAAAAATATAGTGGAATCTTAGCCTTTATGGGCTATGTTGGAAGGCTTTTATCTATTCCCTTGCAGTCATGAGAAGTTCTTAGAACAACATATAGTCAAAAACATGTTTTATTTTCAGGAGCGTGGGCAGTGAGAAGTCCTTGAGCCATATTGGAGTGTAAATTGGGTTTTGATAATGAGATGGATGAATGTTTAATGTATGGGTAATGGGTATGGGTAATGTCCTGCTTCAGGTTTCAATCACACACACTCAAACCTGATTGCTATGGAGATCAGCAATTTTACTTCAAGGCTAAAGAGACAACAGCAAACAAAGAAGGTAAACAAAACAGAAGCTTGCCTGTTTTTAATAAGAGTACACAGAAGGATAGTCCAAATCCAATCCAGGGTTCTAAGAGCCAGGTCCAGGTTGTCAGCCAGTTGAGAGGTCCAACTTTCACAAAGAGAATGCACACATGAGCTTCACATAAAAGCCAGAATTCAGATGGCTGCTTCCAACAGAGCAATATGGGTCAGGATTGCTTCTTAAATCAGGCTGCAGCCAGTTGTCATTAATCAGGAGATTTACTCCTTTGGTTGTCAAGAAGCCTGATAGAACAATGTTTCTCTCCTGTTTGCTGTACTCACCAGGTACACCAGACTGGGAGGCCTGATATCATCAACATCATCTGACTACTCCAGCTGCTCCGGTGATACCTGTGTTTGATCAGCCTCAGGTGATTCTTGGCTTTGGGTCTACTGAGGCTGACATTCCACAGGTTCTGCTGGAGTCTCTTCCTCAAGGTCTGAGTCATCTCAGTCCTGGGCCATGACAGTTAATGGGTCTGTATGGGTAATGGATCTGTACTGGGTGGAAGGAATGACCTTGGGGAACAGGAGGAAGCACCACTATCAAGACAGCAGTCAGATGAAAGAAACCTGTGTGGGGGAGAACTGTAACCTGAGAAAACATGTCAGACAAGACCCTCCCTAGTTCTCACAAGGATAATGGGATGGAGAGGGGAAACGCATTCAGACTTGCAAGATTCTGTTAAGCTATATTGCTCTGCGTGACTGGTTTCCTAGTCCGCTCTTCCTTGAAGGGCTGACAACCCCTAAGGAAAGACATTCTCAAATGCAAGGTTGATTCAGGACCTCTCCAAAAGAAGGAATGGCAGCCCAAGAGGATAATGGGAAAGGATACTCAGAGTTCAGGAGAAATTGGGATTATTATTCCAAATTAGGAGTCATCCCTACACGAAGGACCAGATAGAACACATACTGGGTATGCAGGAATACCAGAGCCTATAGCAGAAATAGCACATGAGATTTTTTGTTCTAGCTATCTAGCTAAGGATTGCACAATGTTTTGAACACTGGACTGATTCCATTGGCCAGGAATGAGCAAGGGTGTACCCAAATACTGTAAATCGTGTCCTGTCAGCCTGTCATACCAAAGCGGGAACAAGATAGATGTCAGAATCCTCGCAAGATTTTATAATAGATTATTAAATGGCTAGTTTAAAAAGAAAAAGGAAAAGGAAAAAAAATGGTTTTTTACATGCTGCGGTTCTGCCATTTATCAATGAGAACCTTTCTTTCAAGCCTTTCATTCATAAAACTACAAGGACCTGTAACTGTTGCTGCCTAGTGCAGAAAGTGAATTACAAGCCAAGTGGCAAGGTCCCTACGTAATCAGGAAAAGTACTGCTCCGATGAATTATCAGCAGAAGTGCAGGGCCTTAGCATTGTACTGCTTCTCAAAACTCCAAGTTCAGACTAGAGCCTAAGGGTTAAGAAGGACCTGCTATTTCCACTGGGGAAAAGCTTGCATTAGCAGGAATGTAAAGTGTTTTTCCAATCCATGAAACAGGACAGGGAGGGGTGCCTATCAAGATTTTAGTGAATAGGAAATGGCATCACTTTCACAGCCTTGGCTCCAACCATTACATCACACTGTTTACACACAATGAGTCTCTCCAGGTTACTATGATAAATTCAATCAAGCAGTTTGGATATACAGTATAAGTTTCACAATAGTCTGTTAAATACTTTGGTTCATCCTACGATGTGCCTCAGCATTCAGTCCTACGTCCACTTTTTTTTTTTTTACTTTGTATACTTTGTCCCTAGGTTCTCTGATTGATTTTCTTTCTTTCTTTCTTTCTTTCTTTCTTTCTTTCTTTCTTTCTTTCTTTCTTTCTTTCTTT